TGGACCACTGACCCTGTAATTCAGGTGACCTTGTAGTGGCACCCCAGCCCTCGGGGCCACGTCGGGGCTCCTGCTGAACCTTCTAAGATAAAAAATAATAATAAAAATAAAGGGGAGAACCAAATGGGGTTCCCCAATGGGTGCTTGCGGCAGGAGGGGGGGCTGCCTGCCCCCGCGCCCCGTGGTTCAATTGAGCGTGAGGTGAGCTGTTTGCCGGCGCACGCCCGGCAGGGCTGAGGGACGCTGCTCGGTTCAGTGGGAGGCGGGTTGCTCGCTTTCGCGCGTCTGGCAGGCCCGTGGTATGCGGCTCGGGCAGGAGGAGAGCTGCTCGCATGTGTGCGCACGCGCCCAGCGGGCCCCGGGAACACGGTTGGACTGTGCTGGGGTGGGGGATCCGCTGGCTGGAGGACACGGGTCAACTGGGCAGGCCAGAAGTGGCTCAGCCTTCCATTTGCTTTAGCATCTCTATGCTGGAGAGCAAGTTTCAGTCTCTTCTGACATCCATTTTGGTCTTTTCCTTCTTTCTTGTCTTCTTAATGACCCTATGTTTTCTTCTTGTATGTTGTTCTTGATGTCATCCAACAACTCTCCTGGTCTTTGGTTTTAGTGTCTATTGCATCAACTTTTAACTATGGTGTGGCATAATCCAATTGGTTACAACTCTGTTAACAGAAGAAGAGAAATTAGCAGATTAGTTATTGAGCTGTTCCAATAAATCAGTAGAGAGATAATGGAGACATTGAGAAAGATGAGATGGTAATAAGGAGGAAATATCAAACAACTAGAATAGTTTGGGCTGAAAATCTCTTAGATTTGAAGGATGAGTTGTGACTGCCCATCCATTTGCTTTTCTTCCTGGTCCAATCAGTTGTGCTCAGAGGGGTAGAGTTACAGGGCCCAAAATAGCAACAATGAATAAGGAACTCCTCCGAAGGATGTTGTGGCTGTGCTATCCTGAGGCTTTGCATAAACTACTGAATAGCCCTCACTTCTGGTTCTTAAACATGAACAAAAAGCAGAAGGTTGCAGAAAAAAACACCTACAGAAACTTCCTGGACCAAGAACAAAAAAGGATGTTAGTATGAATGCAAGTAAGTCTTATTGAGGATGGAAGCTAACTCTCCTTTTTCCTAGAAATTGTGCAAATGAATGGGGAAAACCTGATTCTACTCCCAATAATTTTGTCTGAAAGTAAGAAATTTCTGCATTGAGAGCTACTTGGTAAACTGAGACAACTACTGTCTCCTTCCCTCAACCCAAAGTCTAAACTCCAGCTGTTGTCAAGGAGGAAATGGAAGTCACACCGCTTTCCCTAGGCAGTTGTTGTGCTGTTGCTAAGTGTCATTGAGTCAGTTCTGACTTATAATGACCCTGTAGAGTTTCCAAGGATTTGCTAGTGAGTTTGAGCCACCGACCTTGTGGTTATCAGTCCAGTGCTTATCCTAAAGTGCCACACCAGGCACCAGAACTCTAGATAATGAGATATGGATATTTCAATAGTAAGACCACTCCCCCTGGTGTTACTCCTACCAACTCATGAAAAAAGGTTTTCTAGTGACCATAATAGTACCATCGGGCTATGTTTGCTCAGTCCCCTTCTTCTGTGCAAGAAGGTTTCATTCTAAACAAACCCATGCCATCAGTCTAATAATTGTGCAGTTCTGAAGGACTCCTGGTGTGGCACTGTAGGATCAGCACTGAACTGCAAACCAAAGTCGGCTTTTCAAACCCAGCAGCTACTCCTCAGAAACCCGATACGAGTCGCTATGGGTTGAAACTGACTCTATGGCACTTAAGAACAAACAACCACTGGAGGAGCCCTGGTGGCACAGTAGAATATGCACTAGACTGCTAACTGCAAAGTCAGATGTTCAAACCCACCAGCTGTTCTATGGAAAAAAGATGTGGCTTTCTGTTCCCATAAAGATTTACAGCCTCGGAAACCATAAATAGAGTTGCTATGAGTCTGAATCACCTCGATAGCAGTATGTTTGCTTTTGGTTTCGGAATGAATACAGTACCCACCAGTAGCTGCCATGCTGCTATTCTCTTATGCTTGTTTCATGGTAGATATGTTAGCATATGTTGTTTTTAGTTATGACAACTCCATGTAGGCAGAGTAAAACTGTGGTGGTGGTGGTTATGTGCCATAGAGTCGGTTCCGACTCATAGCCACCCTATGCAGGGTTTCCAAGGCTGTAAATCTTTACAGGAGCAGAAAGCCTCATCTTTCTCCTGTGGAATAGCTGGTAGTTTCAAACTACTGACCTTGCGGTTTGCAGCCCAATTTGTAACCACTGTGCTACCAGAGCTCCTTAGAGTAAAACTATACTATAAGGTTTTTGGGTTTGTGACCTCTCAGAAGCAGATTGCCAGCCCCATCTTCTGAAGCATTGATGCATGTGCTCAAATCACCAACCTCTCTGCTTGTAGTCAAGCGTTTAACCATTTGCTCTACCCAGGGACCTCCACAAGCCTATATTCTTTGTCTATTATGAAACTATTTTTGGTGAAACTTAAAAAAAAAAAAATACTGCTTTTTATGATAACATTTGCCTTCTAGGAGTTAGAGAGAGGAAACAGATATTGTTAAAAGAAATCTCTGGGATTCTGCTTGTCTTTTGTGATATTAATAGAGTTGATGGTCTCTTTACCAAGCACCTTACTACTTTCGAAACTGCAAAGAATGTTGCTGTTGTTGTTAAGTGCCCCCCAGTGGGTTCCAACTCATAGTGGTTGGAATTTAGGTTAGAGTTTCCAAGGAGTGGCTGGTGGGTTTGAACCACTGACCTTGGGGGTATAGCAGTCCAGCATTGGAGTAGAGATGGCTTTGTCCTGTATGAAAATAATTCAGGGTTTCCAGTAGCAATCTCCACCACTCCTCTGTCAGTTTGTTATCCTGTGGTTGCTTGTGTGTTGCTGTGATACTATAAGCTATGCCACTGATATTTTAAGTTCCAACAGGGTCACCATGGTAGATGTGTTTAAGTGAAACTACCAGGCTAAGGCTAGGAAGAAGGAGAAGCACACTACTTCTAAATGAGTAGCAACAGAAAGTCTTATGAATAGCAGCAGAACATTGTTAGATATATTGCCAGAAAACACATTGAGTTTGGAAGGCACTCAAAATACAACTAGGGAAGACCTGTCTCCTCAAATTAAAGCTGATCATAATGACATGAATGGAGCAAAGCTCTCAGGACCTTCATTAGCTGATGGGGCATAACACAAAGTGAGGAGAAAGATTTGCATCTATCTGTTAATGATCAAAACACAAATTACATAGAGTATGAATCTAGGAAAATTTTAAGTTGTCAAAAATGAAATGTAACTCATACAGATCTATATCTTAGGCATTAGTGAGCTAAAATGGGCTGGTATTAGCCATTTTGAATCAGGCAATCATATGGTACTATGCCAAGACGAATGACATCACATTTATCGTCAAAAAGAACATTTCAAGATCTACCTTGAAGTACAATGCTGACTGTGACAGGTTAATATCCATAGACTTACAAGGAAGACGAGGACTCCTGGTAAGGCACTATAGGATAAATACTGGACTGCAAACCTGAAGGTTGGTGGTTCAAACCCACCAATCACTCTTCTGAAACCCTATACAGGGTCACTATGAGTCAGAACCCCCTCTACAACACTAAACAACAACAATAAAATGAGGAAGACCAGTTAATACCACTGTTATTCAAATTCATGTAGCAACTACTAAAGTCAATGATGAAACTGAAAAATTCTATCAATGGCTACAGCAGTACATCAACAGGAAATTTTCAGAAATCCATGCCGCATTCAGAAGAGGCAGTTCTTCAAACAGAATGAGGGGATATTGAATGGTATAAAATAAGGAAAGATGTGTCTGGGCTGTCTGTATTCTTTTGCCATACTTATTCAATTTGTATGCTTAACAAATAATCCAAGAAAATGGATTATATGAATAAGATCTTGACATTAAGATTGGAGGAAGACTCATTAACAACATACGATATGAAAATGATACAACCTTGCTTTCTGGAATTGAATAGGACTTAAAATAGTTACTGATAAAGATAAAATGCTTCAGTATGGATTGCACCTTAATGCAAATAAAACAAAAGTAGTCACAACTGGATCAGTAAATAGTATCATGATAAATGGAGGAAAGATTGAAGTTGTCAAAGACTTTATTTTACTTGGATCCACAATCAACACTCATGGAATCAGCAATCAAGAAATCAAACAACATATTCCATTAGGCAAATCTGCTGCACAAGACCTGTTTAAAACCAAGACTCAAAAGACAGCCAAGCATCTTAACATTATTTCCCACCTTTTGCCATTAGAGAAATGCAAATCAAAACAACAATGAGATATCATCTCACACCAGCAGTAGCAGCAAAGATTAAAAAAGTAGAAGACAATAAATGCTGGTGGGGATGTGGAGAGACTGGGACACTTCTACCTTGCTGGTGAGACTGAAAATGGTCCAACCTCTCTGGAAAGCAATATGGCGCTTCCTCAGAAGGTTGGGAATAGAAACACCTTATGATCCAGCAGTTCCTCTACTTGGTATTTACCTACAAGAAATATGAGCCATAACACACGTAGATATATGCACACCAATGTTCATAGCAGCACTATTTACAATAGCAAAAAGATGGAGACAGCCAAAGTGCCCATCAACTGAAGACTGGATAAACAAACTGTGCTACATACACACAATGGAATATTATGCTACCTAGAAGAATAACTAGGAAGCTGCAAGCCACTGCATAACATGGATGAACCTTGAGGACATTATGTTGAGTGAAATTAGTCAGTCACAAAAGGAGAAATACTGCATAGGACCACTGTTGTAAAAGACTAAGAAAAAGAACCCATACTAAGGGGGGGTGGGGGGGTGGCAGGATTCTTTGCTGGTTACTAGGATGTGGGGGATGGGGTGAGAGGAAGGAGGGGAAGGTGGAGCACAGGGCAGGGAATAGACACAGGATAGTTTGGGTGCTGGGGAGGGGGGCAATATACAAGAAGGGGGAGGGGAATAGAAAAACAAAGTGGATGTGATTACAATTAGGCAGGTTTGCATGGGCTAACTGGGACAGAGGAAAATAATGATGTATGCACAACTTTGGAACAACAGGGCTCTGGGATACAGGAATTGAGACATGGTTGGAATGGGCAAAAGGTGGGAAATAATGTTAAGATGCTTGGCTGTCTTTTGAGTCTTGGTTTCCCTTGCATACCATTATAAAATAGACATTTGAGGGGGAGCGAAAGGAATAGCCAGAAATATCAACATAGAAAGTTTGCAAGTCCATTTTCTGCTTATAAGTAATTGGA